CATATATATACACAAGTGTATATACACATATATGTGTGTGTGTGTGTTGTTGCTATTGTTGTTTAGTTGCCCAGTCATGTCCAGCTCTGTGACCCCATGGATTGTAGCCCGCCAGGCTCCTCTGTCCATGAGATTTCCCAGGCAAGAATACTGGAGTGGGTTGTCATTTTCTTCTCCAGGGGATCTTCCCGACCCAGGGACTGAACCCCTGTCATCATATGCTCACTGCTGTGTGTGCTCAGTTTCTCACCTCTGCTGCCTCATTTTCATGAGCACGCCTTATGTTTTCCATCTAACCTTTCCTTCTATTCTTAACCACACCCACTGCTCACAGAAGCTCTGCTCTCCTAAAGCAAAACCTCTTGGAAGAGTTATCTGCACACCTGTCCCCTCTCACAGCCTGTTCTCTCCACCTGCTTCACTGAGCCTCTGCCCTGTCATGTCCCCAAACCTGGACTTGTCACAATCACCCACAGTGTGTCCCACTGCCAAACCAGGGGCTCCTTTCCTGTGTTCACCTTGCTCGTATCACGCTCACCTTGCTCCTATCGGCAGCTTGTATCACGGTGGAGCACTCCCTCTTTCTTGAAACTCACCTCTCTGCTGCCTCTCTCTGTCTCGCTGGTGACATCTCCTGCCCTATTTCTAAACCCTCCTCTTCTCTTTCTACACTTTTACCTTAGGGCATCTCACCCAACTTTTAAATACCATGTGTTTGACACTCAAATATATCTCTTCCCTGACTCCTCCACTGAACTCCAGACTTACTTATCTAAATGCCTACCTTGCAGGCATCTCCTCCTGAATATTGTGTTAGTTTTCTACAGGTGCCATAACCAATTATCACAAACTCAGTGGCTTAAAACAACACCTGTTTATTATGTCCCAGTGTCTGTGGTTCAGAAGTCTGGGAATAGTGTTACCCAGCTGTGTTCTCTGCTTAGGCTCTCACCTGGCCGAAGTCCAAATGAGAGCAATGAAGTCAGAATGTGGGCTCTGATCCGGAAGCCTCCGGGCTCATTCAGGTTGTTGGCAGAGCCCCAGGTGGTTCTCGGACTGCTGTGCCCATGTGCTGTTTGTTGGGGCTCATTCTCAGGTTTGAGAGGCTGCTTGCCTTCCTTGACTTGTGGTCCACTCCATCTTCAAAGCGAACGATGGTGCATCAGCCCTTGTGCCTCAAATCTGTCTGCTTTCCTCTTCTGCCCTTAAAGGATTGTTGTGATTCCAGTGGCCTATCCAGGTAAGACATGATAATTTTCCTACCTTGAAGTCATTGATTAGTCATTTCAGTTACATCTACAAAGGCGCTTTTCCACCTTTCATATTCATAATAATATATTTTGTGCCTTTCATATTCATAATGTTTCATCTAAGATGAAATATTCATGAGAAACTATGGAGAGAAAGTCATGAGGTCAAGTTTTCTTCCTACCACAGATATCTGAGAAGAATCTCAAACTAATCATTTCCAGCAGGAACTCTTGACTCTGCCCCAAACTTGTTTCTCTACTGTTTTTCTTTTTTCCCCTCTGCTCCCATTGTTCAGTTCAGAATCCTAGTAATCATCCTTAATTTCTTTATTCTCCTTATCCTCCCTGGTCTCATCTCTCAGCAAACCTGGTTGGCTCCACCTCCAGAGTATATCCCAAATCCTTCCGTGTTTCCTCCTCACTGTGGCCGGGCTGGTGCAGACAGCTGGTGGCTCTGAACAGCTGCGGTGCCTCCTGATTCCTCCCTCGGCCTCCCCTCTTCTGTTCTTGCTCTTCACGGCAGCCACAGTGAACCTTTCGAGAGTTAGATCATATCACTCCCCGCTCTGAAATCCTTTCCAGGGCTTCTCATCGCATTTAAGATCGGACTCTTTGCCATGACCTTCGAGGCCGTGTATGGTCTGCTTGCTCTCCCCAGTCCTGCTCTTTCTTTGCCCCCTGACCTCCAGCCCCCCGCTGCCCCTGCCACCTTCGTGCTGTTCCTGACATTGTGCAGCCTCCACCTGCTTCCCTGACCACCCGACCTAAGTGTCCCTCATCACTCTCATGTCACTCTTATTTTTTCACAGAACTGACATTCTCTGAAAATACCCTGTACCTTATTTACTTGAGTATTATTTTTGTTTCCCACTGTGGAATGTAAGCCCCGTGAAAGCCAGATAATCAGTTATGTATAGACCGTATCCCTAGTGTGGGACATAGTAGGCTCTTGGATGAATGAATGGTGTGCTTTTTTTTTGTAGTTATGAAGGTAATATATGCTAATTACAAAAAGTATAAAATAACTCACAAATAAATTATATAATCCTCACCTTTCAGAGATAGCAACCTGTTCATATTTAGTAGAACATGATCCTTCTAGTTACTGTACAGGTAATGTATATCTGCTTTTGCCCTTTTAGATAATGTGAGTAATCTTTATGACCCTAAATATTCTTTTACAACTTAATTTCTGGTAGCCTTGTGGCAGTGCTTCTTTAGAAGCACCATAGTGAGGTTACCTATTTTTATTATGCATTTATGTTTCTTTTAAACGAACATCTTCTTTGCATGTTTTTTATCTTATGAAAATTTCAGAAGCATATTTATTAGGTCAGAGTATAGATATTTTCAGGATCTTTAAAAACATATATATATATATATATATATACACACACACACACACATATATATATATATATACACACACAGCCAGATAACCTTAATGAAAGGATGTAGCAATCATTTCTCTCTCAGAGGAATATAGGAGTGCCTATTTTGAAAAGTATTTGCCAGCTTAATAAGTAGAAAATGGTTTGCATTGTTTTCAGTTTGCAGTGTTTATTGAATAATAGTAAAGTTGAGTTTTTGAATGTTTATCATCTATTTGTTTCTTTTAAAAATTGCATGTTTTTCTATTAGGGTGTTGATCTTTGTCTTTCTTACATTTAATTGGTATTTATTTCAACATACAGTAGGAAATAGTGGTCTAAGTTCACTGTCTGCTCCTCACCCTGGTTAAATAGTACTGTTTATCGAATAGCATCCCAATTCATTACTGATTTAAGAGGCCACTTTATCATGGACTTAATTTAATACTAGGTCAACAAATATTCTAGTTTCCAAATAAAAATGTTTGGCTAATTAAAAAGAACTGTTATCTTCAAGTCTGACCTATTGAAATACAGTGCATTAGTGATTAACCATTTGGATGGAGTTTGAAAGGTGCATATTCCTTTTTCCTTTAAAGCACAATTGAATATAAAAGTAGGTAGTTATTTTGCCCTCTTGTTATCTGCAACTGCAGAGAACCTACCTATTTTAAGCTTTCGTCTGGGTCCAAAGTACTGCTGTCTTCCAGAGGGCGAAAACTTCATCTGCAGTCAAAAGTAGCCAGGAAAAGATCCTGAGGCTCATTAGGGCTGGCTTAGATTCCAAGCTTAGTAGGTGAGGTAAATACCATAGATACATTGTAAGAACAGCAGTACATTCAAGATTCTCCACTATGATCCTTTGAAGGCATATCTGTTATTTGGTTCGGTTTCTCAATCTTACATTTTATCATACTTGCTAAAAATTAAAGGAACTACTACTAGGCTTAATTAGGGATAAAAGAAACTCCTTGAAAACATGCTGAAAAATGGAAAGCTTCTTTAGATAGAATTAAGATATTTTGAGGTACTGCATAGTGTGAATTATTAAGTGCCATTAAGGCTATTCAAGAATCATAAAGAATATAATTACTATAAAAGCAGTATGTTTACTTTCATATTGTGTTAAGAGGGTGCAAATTGGGATGGTAATGCCTGCATCATTTAATACTTGATGTTTTCTCTCAACAAATGGAAAAAAGGCTCCAAGTATACTCATCATATAAACACATCCCTTTCATATATTACTTGTAGCATAAAAGGTGAGTGCTGTTTTAATGGAATGCTTCCTGTCAAAATACATAACTGGAAACCATGTTTAATGTACCAAATTTCATTTATTGCTTCTGCCAAAATGACCAAATAGGCCAATGAGTACAGTAATTTCAGATTTTTCTGTGTTCACTATAGCTGTTGGAAGAAAATTGATTTTATGATGATGTTATCCTGTTTCAAAAGCAGTCATTTCTGTTGTCTTTTTGGTTCTGTGCTCAATTTCAGAAAGAGATTATTATTTATAATGTGGATGTCTGCCTCTAACTTGAATATACAAGGGCTCAGAGACCAGAATGGAAAGAAGGAAGGCTGCTTGGGAGGGGGCTGTGCAGGACGGGACGGGAAGGATGGCTCAGGAGACCATTTCAGTGCTTATTGTTTTCACCAAAATACAATTGAGAAAAAGAGGAGAGACTGTATGTGTGTGTGTGTGTGTCTGTGTGGTCAGTTTTATTAGTTTGTAGTCTATGTTGAAAAGGTAATTTTAGAGAGGTTGAATGGTTAGAGTGACACTGTTTTCCGTGTGCACACTCTGCCTTCATTATCAAACACAGCTGTAGGGGGAAAATGTTGTAAACGTTGTCTCTCCTAAAGAAATGGAGTATCTTTTCATGGATTAAAAGCAGAAACTTGAAAACTGACTTGTTCAAGGATGTGCAACAGGATATGGGTAGGAATTGGACTGCTTTATTTGTCTGACTTCTCCTCTGTCTTTGCCATAAAGTGAAGATGTTCTTTGTTTCAGGTAAACTAACAAATGGTGAGAATGTTTTTATTCTAAAAATACAATCACTAAGGTAACTAGGGCAGTTTTTAAAGACTTTTTAAGAGTCTCTCAAAATTCAAGAAGCAGTTTATGTTCACTATTCTCTATGTTATGAGACGTATAGAGTAAAAAGGAAACATTTTGAAGTAAGATTTTAATTCTCGAAATCTTAGTGGGTGTTTTAGATATTGTGTATGACTTTCACAGTATAAACGCTATTATTTTCAGAGGAGTGTTCTATGAGATCCCAGATGTACCCTTAATCCTCCTAAGAAAGCATTCCCCTGGGTTGCTTATGTGAGTAATGGATTTCCTGAATTATGTATTTTTGCTTTTTAGATGCTGACAGACAAGATTCCATTAATCTCTTCCTGGGAGTTTTCCATCCTACTGAAGGGAAACCTCATCTCTGGGAACTCCCGACAGATTTTTATTTGCATCATAAAAATACCATGAGACTTTTACCAACAAGAAGAAGGTATTTTTCTTCCTGGTCTACTATGTTAAACTCAGCTTTGATGTTATTTTGAATATGAGAGAACTTTCTTTTTGAGAAATGATTATATAGGCTAAAGTAGTCAGCCTTGCTACATGTTTGCCAGGAGGAATTTAGTATTGTTGATGTCCTTATAGTTCAGTTCAGTTCAGTCGCTCAGTCATGTCCGACTTTGCAACCCCATGGCTGCAGCACGCCAGGCCTCCCTGTCCATCACCAACTCCCGGAGCCTACCCAAACTCATGTCCATTGAGTCGGTGATGCCATCCAACCATCTCCTCCTCCATCGTCCCCTTTTCCTCCTGCCCTCAATCTTCCCCAGCATCAGGGTCTTTTCAAATGAGTCAGCTCTTTGCATCAGGTGGCCAAAGTATTGGCATTTCAGCTTCAACATTGGGAAATCGTCATTAACAAATGCAGTTGGTTTGTGTTTTCATAAGATACAAAGTTTCAGAGGTTCGTCATTGAACATTAGGTTGAAGCTCCATTGGAGCAAACCAGTAACATAACTTTTGAGTGCTTCCTACAAATGTGGGGTGATAAAGAACTCTTAACATGTAAGGAATCGCCTTTGGTTTTTCAGTGTGGTGTCTAGGCAGCCTCACTTTGGAATTCCAGTGTTCTTTCCTCCAGGAAGCACAGGGAACTCTTGCTGACACTGGGGAGGACAGGAAGCTAGAGCCAGGGTGCTTGTGGCAGGTCCCAGTCCCAGCATCCTGTTGCTCAGCCTGGGCTTTCTGGAGTCATTCACTGTGTGGGCTGTTTTGATGACAGTTAAATTGGTAGCAGTAGTCCCCAAATAAATGAACTGTGTCCTGAGGATTGGACAGGACTCCCTGTGTAGCGCAGGCTGCAGGGTCAGGGGACTTGAGCTGGCGTCTCTGCAGCCGTGTGACCTTGGGCTAGTTATTTAACCTCTCTAAGTCTCATTTCCCTCCCCTGCACAATGTAAATGACAGGATACACATTACAGAGTCATTGTAAGGGTTTAATGAGAGGACTCTCTACCACTGTTAATTGAAGAGTCATGTTCTAATAATGGGCAACATTTTTCACATATGAGACTTGAGCCTGGTCCCTTCTGCTCAAAGGCCTGAGATGTCAAGTCTGCTCCTAAGGCTCTCCTCTCAAAGCATCCATGTGACCTATCCCTCATTTTGTGCAACAGTGCCTTGGGAACACTCCAGGGTTCATTGCCGGTCTGTGCTAATTGTGTGAACAGACCACAAACAACTCGTGAATTAGCAAGTGCTAATGTTACAGATGTTACCAAATCCTCTGTTACTTCAGGAATATTTCAAATATTAAGAAAATGTCAGAGTTTATATGTTTCTCAGTTTTGTTCCTTTAAGTACATTTTCTTGGAATAATCAGCTTAATGCTTGACCTTACTTTCCCTATAAATGAAGCAGTGCTGATTTTTCCACTATATTAATAAAATGATTGCCATGAATTTTTGCTGACAAAAAAATCTGGAGCTAATTATGTTTATTTGATGAGAGATAAGTGTAAATACCTATATTTAGCTTTGTTGATGCAATTGACTATGGGTAAATATGGTTGATTTTCTGCAACTTTATATTACCTTAAAGTATTGAAGCTATTAAGATACAACTTGGGGAACAAGCAAAACTCGATTTTCTGTTCCTGAAATTAAATTGCTAGTAAATTACAAGCATAAGTTAAACCTAGAGTTACATAACTGAGACAGGCAGTGTTGGTGCTTATTTGTGGGAATAAAACAAAGCTGATGTTACATTCCCAGTTTTAAAATTAAAAAAAGGAAACTGAGTTGCAGAGAAAATTTGTCTTGACTGAGGTTATGCAGCTGATTAGACAGTACAGTAAGTAAATCAACTAAACACCTCCCACTGAGAATAAACTTTTATCAAAGTAGGTACTGTGACTCTCACAGTCGACTTGGTCTCCTTGTTTTGTTTTTTCTCTAGAATGTGAATGTTCCAAAAATTGATTTTTGGCATCAACAACTGAAACTGCTTATCAACTGTACTAATAAAGACTGTAGGATAAATTTCAGTACTTTATTTTGGCCTTTCTAGTCACCCACCGATACTAGTTATTTTTATGGTGGTTAAATCCGTATGCTGATTCTCAGAATTAGCCAGAGGCAATAACCAGACTGGAGCATGGACACTAGGGTAGAGCTGGGTTGGATTTTCTGCAGGTGTGTGACCTTAGACCTGTTTCTAAACCTTTGGAAATCTTGTTTTCCCAACTATAGAAAGGAAATGACTACACACACCTCACAGGTCACTTTAAGGATTAAATAAAATATGAATGGGAAGTACTTCCTACTGGGTCTGACGCATGATCCACACAGTCTGGAAGCAGCCAGGCTCTGGGGGGACTGCCTGCAGTTGGTACCTGTGTGACTGGAAGCAAGACATATAACCGGTTCAGTTCTCAGTTTCCACATCAGTAAAATAGTGATAGTGTCTGACCTGAAGGTTTTTCTGAGAATCAGATGAGATCATATAAATCCTTAGCACATAGTAGTCCAACAGATATTAGTATTGTTAGGGTTCTTAATTTTTTTTTCCCGTATTTTTACTTTTTTTTCCCCCCATTTATTTTTATTAGTTGGAGGCTAATTACTTTACAATATTGTAGTGGTTTTTGTCATACATTGACATGAATCAGCCATGGATTTACATGTATTCCCCATCCCGATCCCCCCTCCCACCTCCCTCTCCACCCGATCCCTCTGGGTCTTCCCAGTGCACCAGGCCCGAGCACTTGTCTCATGCACCCAACCTGGGCTGGTGATCTGTTTCACCCTAGATAATATACATGTTTCGATGCTGTTCTCTTGAAACATCCCACCCTCGCCTTCTCCCAGAGTCCACAAGTCTGTTCTATACATCTGAGTCTCTTTTTCTGTTTTGCATATAGGGTTATCGTTACCATCTTTCTAAATTCCATATATATGTGTTAGTATACTGTAATGGTCTTTATCTTTCTGGCTTACTTCGCTCTGTATAATGGGCTCCAGTTTCATCCATCTCATTAGAACTGATTCAAATGAATTCTTTTTAATGGCTGAGTAATATTCCATGGTGTATATGTACCACAGCTTCCTCATCCATTCGTCTGCTGATGGGCATCTAGGTTGCTTCCATGTCCTGGCTATTATAAACAGTGCTGCGATGAACATTGGGGTGCACGTGTCTCTTTCAGATCTGGTTTCCTCGGTGTGTATGCCCAGAAGTGGGATTGCTGGGTCATATGGCAGTTCTATTTCCAGCTTTTTAAGAAATCTCCACACTGTTTTCCATAGTGGCTGTACTAATTTGCATTCCCACCAACAGTGTAAGAGGGTTCCCTTTTCTCCACACCCTCTCCAGCATTTATTGCTTGTAGACTTTTGGATAGCAGCCATCCTGACTGGCGTGTAATGGTACCTCATTGTGGTTTTGATTTGCATTTCTCTGATAATGAGTGATGTTGAGCATCTTTTCATGTGTTTGTTAGCCATCTGTATGTCTTCCTTGGAGAAATGTCTGTTTAGTTCTTTGGCCCATTTTTTGATTGGGTCATTTATTTTTCTGGAGTTGAGCTGGAGGAGTTGCTTGTATATTTTTGAGATTAATCCTTTGTCTGTTGCTTCGTTTGCTATTATTTTCTCCCAATCTGAGGGCTGTCTTTTCACCTTGCTTATAGTTTCCTTTGTTGTGCAAAAGCTTTTAAGTTTAATTAGGTCCCATTTGTTTATTTTTGCTTTTATTTCCAGTATTCTGGGAGGTGGATCATAGAGGATCCTGCTGTGATTTATGTCGGAGAGTGTTTTGCCTATGTTCTCGCATGAGAACGTGTTCTCCATGAACATGGTATATTTCTCCATCTGTTTGTGTCCTCTTTGATTTCTTTCATCAGTGTGTTAGTGTTCTTTAAAATGACTACATTCCTTAGTTGTAATACTTATTAAAAATCATATAGAATGACCATTAAGTCTAGAGACTTAGATAATATTATTTTATCACTTATTTTTTGTTGTTCATTCACTAAGTCGTGTGCAGCTCTTTGTGATTCCATGGACTGCAGCACGCCAGGCTTCCTGCCCTTCACTATCTCCCAGAGTTTACTCATATTCATGTCCATTGAGTCAGTGATGCCATCCAACCATCTCATCCTCTGTCGTCCCTTCTCTTCCTGCCCTCAATCTTTCCCAGAATCAGGGTCTTTTCCAATGAGTCGGCTCTTTGCATCAGGTGGCCAGGGTATTGGAGCTTCAGCATCAGTCCTTCTAATGAATATTCAGGGTTGAATGCCTTTAGGATTGGCTGGTTTAATCTCTTTGCTTTCCAAAGGACTCTCAAGAACCTTCTCCAGCACCAGAGTTCAAAAGCATCACTTCTTCAGTGCTCAGCCTTCTTTATGGTCCAGTTCTCACATCTGTACATGACTACTGGAAGAAAAGAAAAACATAGCTTTGAAAATACAGACTTTTGTTGGCAAAGTAATGTCTCTGCTTTTTAATACGCTGACTAGGTTTGTCATAGCTTTCTTCCAGGGAGCAAGCATCTTTTAATTTCACAGCTGCAGTGTGATTTTGGAGCTCAGGAAAATAAACTCTGCCACTATTTCCACTGTTTCCCCATCTATTTGCCATGAAGTGATGGGATGGGACCAGATGCCATGATCCTAGTTTTTTGAATGTTGAGTTTTAAACTAGCTTTTTCGCTCTCTTCTTTCACCTTTATCAAGAGGCTCTTTAGTTCCTCTTCACTTCCTGCCATTAGGGTGGTATCATCTGCATATCTGAGGTTGTTGATATTTCTCCCAGAGATCTTGATTGCAGCTTGTGATTCATCCAGTCCAGCATTTCACATGGTGTACTCTGTATACAAGTTAAATAAGCAGTGTGACAATGTACAGCCTTGGTGAACTCCTTTCCCAATTTTGAACCAGTTCATTGTTCCATGTTCTGTTCTAACTGTTGCTTCTTGACTTGCACACAGGTT